AACTAGACGTTATCCATAGACAGTGTAACGAGAACAGTCTATCTCCGTAGATTAAATAAAGGGTTCAGTTTGGAATCCCCTTTAAGTTAACTAGATCGATATGCACCTGATGAAGGCCATAGGGCACTAACACCGAAACGGTGTGACACCGAAATTCTAATGCGCATTAGAATAGCAAATGATGCCTTCCAAAAGCTAAGAAAAGTGTAGGGAGAGCGTGAGAAAGAAATATTCATTTTCCCTAATACCTTTCTCACGTTATAGTCATTGCTATATCCATAATATATCAACACCGATATTTCACGGACAGGAAGGAAGAGCTGAATGGAAAAAGAATAAAACACATGCAAAAGTTTATAATGATACGTCGTACGCAAAATTAGATATATACATATATACAAGTGTCCTACGCAAAGAAATTATAACATACGCCTCAATAGTGTGTAAAAAATGGGAACCTAACTTGTTATATTTTCTGAAGAGAAAACTGGAATTATGACGGCTTCTCTACGAACTGGATGAGGCCATATACTTTTGCATGTAAGTCCTACCGCTGTAGCCTAAAGATATCCTTCGTCTCTGGGCTCTACATGACAACTGCACACGTCAATCTATCTCCCGACATCATTCACCGGTGGTCACGTGATCCTCGTGAATATCTCAACGAAAGGGAAATAATCGCCATTTCTAACCCAACAAAAGCATTAAGAAAAAAGAAAATTAACTCACTAACGTCACCAAGGACACGTGGCCCAGTGGATAAAAGCTTTGGTTGGTTGATCCGAAAGAGACTTAACACAGTGTTGGGACCTCAGTGTCTTGCAATACCATAGACTAAATATGTGAATAACGAGGAAAATTTAAGAAAATTGAAACAAAAAGGACGTTTAAGCTTAAAATTAAATAGAGACTTTTGAAATTTCTAGGAGATATAATGAAGAGAGAAGGCATGGAAAATTAAACACTCACAGTACATAGGGTATCAAAGAGTAATCTGCTTGAGGAGCTTGTGTAACAGGGAGTAGATACACATTGCAAAGAGCTATAAAGGATAGGAATTTAGAGAGAGCCATGATCGCCCACATCCTAAAAGGACACGGCACTTAGAAGAGAATGTCTTTTATTATAATCTTCAACAAAAATGCAATATCACCTTCTGAAAAAGCCTTTTTTTAAAGCTGTTCTTTGGCCACATGTTGTGAAGAGTAAGGAGGTTCCTACTGCTGTAGGCAAAGTTCTTTAAATGCAGCTGTGTTGTTTTCTAATGGGTTAAAAGCATCTAAAATAGTGTGGGGGTTACTCCAAATAATATATAGAATAATATGAGTATCTCTAAGATTATGTCAACAACAGATTGCCAGATGTTTCGTAAAAAATTATCTGCTTTAAAAAAAATCCTTTCATCGATGTGTTCGTTTTCTCGACGTCAGTACGAATTAGTTTTTTCTCCCCCTGTCAAATCTCTATCTATAAAAGACAGGATATGTGTGTGTGTGTGTGTGTGTGTGTGTGTGTGTGTGTGTGTGTGTGTGTGTGTGTGTGTGTGTAACGAATGCACTGCTGCAATTTTCGATGGATTAGCACCAAAATTTACATTCACATGCTCCAAGTTAGCAGGAAGGCCAAGACCGACTTTACATTTCCCAGCTCCCATCGATAATGGAAATAATCGATTTTTTCATGCTTCTACGGCAGTTTTCATGTAGTTTGAGGCCATTTTCTACTGGCGAGAGTGAGAGCCAATAGCTGGCTACCACGAATAGGCAGGAAGATTCTATTGGCCAGCGTGAGAGCCAACAGCTGACTGACACGAATGTTAACTAGCATGCTAGCATGCAAAAACATTGATAGCTGCATTCGTCACAAGTGGGAAAAATTTAAATCTGCATGGCACTTTACTCCAATTGGCTCATTCGCTTGCTTAAACTCAACGTTGATTCTGATTCCGCAGAACTGGGTTGTGTGTGAAAAATTATTTGTTGTTAACATTCTTTTTCATTCGGTTTTTCCAGTTACGAGTCCTTTTTAAAGCTGATCGTTTTGTGTTCATTTTGTTTAGTTCTTTTTTTCGTAACAGATTTAATGTTTAGTATAGAGCTTAGAAAAAATTCGCAGTGTGAGATAGGCAAGAAGTAAGGCATGTAGCAACATCAGAACGGCAAAGGGCACTCCTTTAAAGGCAAGGAAGGGCAAAAATATTTTAAGTCAAGTGATAGCGATTGCTGTATGAGTCGTAAGATTTTTGAATCAAGCACGGGCAACGCCGGGCCATGCTGCTAGTGTGAAATAAATATCTGTCAACATACAATTATGACCAACGTAGCCCAAGAAAAAACAAAGCGTCAGAATTTAAACTACCCGGCCATTTATCAACTATTATGTATTCGTAGATCAATAAGAAAATGTTAAAATTCATTTCCACATTTATTTATTACGTATGAGCTAATGCTGAATATTTCAGGAACAGATCCGAAAATATGGCAATCGCTCCATTCAATAGTGAACTTGAGAAAAAAAAGCGATTCAAAAGAAAACATTCTATGATTTACAACAATTGACTTCGTAATATTCATATACGTAGATCGGTAAAACGTTTCTTAGCCCCGCCAAGGGATTAAGGAAAAAATAAAAACATTTGCTCAGATTTTGTAAAGTGAGTCGGGCCGTGAACGTTTCAGTTGTGAGATGAGGCATTATGTATTAATTATTTACATTATTCGGACTATTATCCTCATCTTTGTCGCCGTATTTATTACAACGTTTCGGCTGAATAATATATATATATATATATATATATATATATATATATATATATATATATATATATATATATATATATATATATATATATATATAGCTTTTTTTATCTGCAGATATAATTCTTTTCTCTATGTGAAACTTTACTATCTCACATTCGCTATTTCTTTCTATCTATAAATATTTACTTCTACACAGTCTTTCTTTCTTTCTTTCTTTCCTTCTTGCCTTTCTTTCTTCACTGTTTTTCTTTTTTCTTTCTTTCTGTATAAGAGCTTTTCTCTCTCCGCAGTCTTTCTTTTTTTTCTTTCACTTTATGTGTGAGCCTTTACTCTACACAGTCTTTCTTTCTTTTTCTCTCTATATGAGCCTTTACTTCTCCAGAGTCTTCATTTCTTTCTCTCTATATATAAGTCTTTACTTCTCCGCAGTCTTTCTTTCCCTCTCTATATGATCCATTACTTCTACATAGTCTATCTTTCTTTCTTTGTTCCTCCCTCTATAGGAGTCATTACTTCTCCGCAGTCTTGCTTTCATTCTTTCTTTCTATATGAGTTTTTACTTCTACGCCGTTTTTTTTTCTTTCTTTCTATCCCCTATGTCTTTCTAAACAGTCTTTCTTTATTTATTTCTCTCTCTACATGAATGTTTACTCCTCAGCAGTCGATCTTTCCTTCTCACCTTATATGGTCTATACTTCTATGCAGACTTCCTTTCTTTCTCTCTCAATGAATCGTTACTTCTCCGCAGTCTTTATTTCTTTCTTTCTCTCCCTATATGAGTCTTTATTTCCCCGACAAAGCACAAAATAACGGAATCAAAAGAGTTTCCACTTTTATTCTATTTTTATTTTTAATCCTTCTCTTTCTCCTTTTCTTTCTCTTTTTCTTATCTACTCTCTCGCCTCTCCCTCCCTCTCTCTCTCCCTCTCTCTCTCTCCCTCTCTCTCTCTCTCTCTCCCTCTCTCTCACTGATTCTTTTCTTTATTCCTCTTTATTTTGCTCTATTCTTCCTTTCCCCCGCTCTCTGACTTCATTTTCTTCTGATGCATTTTTATCTATCTATCTATCTATCTATCTATCTATCTATCTATCTATCTATCTATCTATCTCAGTCAAAGCATATCTAACTCAATGCATATTTACCTATTCCAATCAATGCATATCTGTGTATCTATCTCAATGCATATCTATCTATCTATCTATCTATCTATCTATCTATCTATCTATCTCAATGCATATCTATGTATGTATCTATCTATCTCAATACATATCTATCTATCTCAGTCAAAGCATATCTATCTCAATGTATATTTACCTATTTCAATCAATGCATATCTCTGTATCTATCTCAATGCATATGTATCTATGTCAGTTAATGAATATCTATCTATCTCTGCATATCTATCTATCTATCTATCTATCTATCTTAATGCATATGTATGTATCTATCTATCTATCTCAATACATATCTATCTATCTATCTCAGTCAATGCATATCTATCTATAGATTTTTTCAAAATTCTTCATCCCTTCGTTCTCATCTTTTTTTAAATTTTATTCCTTTTTCTTTTCTTTCGCTTTTTAAATTTCTTCTTTCTTTTCTCCTTTTTTTCATTTTCTTATTTATTTTCTTTCTTCTTTCATTTTTCTCTCTCATCTTTCTTTCTATCCAATTTTGTTCATCTATTTCACTCCACTAAATTCTCAAATGTTCTTTTACTTTTTATTCTCTTCTTTATTCGTCCATGTTACTTCCTTCCTTCCCTTCACTTCGAGGCTTATTTCCTCATTTATCCATTCTCTTTTACTCCTTTGTTCTCCTCGTCACTTTTTTCTTTCATTCAAAATTTTCCTTGCTGATTCCATTTTGTTTCTAATTTTTCCCCTCGTCGACTTTCATTTGCCTCCTTTTTTTGTTCTTTTTCATTTTTGTATCTTCTCCATCTCTCTATCGCTTTCTTTGTCTTATTCTTCAATTTAAAATAAATGCAAATATTTTATGTATTTTCAAAAAGAATTACTTTTTCTACTTTTAAATGTTGGTTTTTCCCTGTTTTTAGAAATAATTGCTCATTTTAGAAAGAGCTCATAGCAAAGTAGTTAATTGGATATGTCGTGTGGAGGCCATTTTCTTCTGAACGTTTGATTAACGTAAAAAAAAATAATAACGATGGAAATGCATGTTAGCGTTTATTTCTGTAAGAATAGTTATTTGCGTGCACATCAGAATGAAAGAAAGAATCAAAGATTGGACAGATAGATAGATAGATAGATAGATAGATAGATAGATAGATAGATAGATAGAAAAAGGTCTGTGACAGATTGATAGAAAGAAAGAATCCTGGGACTGATAGATAGATAGATAGATAGATAGATAGATAGATAGATAGAAAAAGGTCTGTGACAGATTGATAGAAAGAAAGAATCCTGGGACTGATAGATAGATAGATAGATAGATAGATAGATAGATAGATAGATAGAAAAAGGTCTGTGACAGATTGATAGAAAGAAAGAATCCTGGGACTGATAGATAGATAGATAGATAGATAGATAGATAGATAGATAGATAGAAAAAGGTCTGTGACAGATTGATAAAAAGAAAGAATCCTGGGACTGATAGATAGATAGATAGAGAGATAGATAGATAGATAGATAGATAGATAGATAGATAGAAAAAGGTCTGTGACAGATTGATAGAAAGAAAGAATCCTGGGACTGATAGATAGATAGATAGATAGATAGATAGATAGATAGATAGATAGATAGAGAAAGAAAGAAAGAAAGAAAGAAAGAAAGAAAGAAAGAAAGAAAGAAAAAGGTCTGTGACAGATTAATAGAAAGAAAGAAGTCCGGTACGGATAGATAGATAGATAGATAGATAGATAGATAGATAGATGAACTCCATTCGTTTTTTGTTTTTGTTTTTTTGGCGAAATGTAGTAAAGATATACGACGAATATGTAACTTCCAGGCAGATATCACTTAAAAGTGTGGCTACCTAGGATGGTTTCACAAACTGGGTTGCTTGCAACTGACAAGGATGGATAACCGCTTAACGATGGGAAAACATTGCATCAAAATTACATCTTAATGGATACTGCCACTCAACCCCAGCATTCAACTCGCTGTACAGAGAACTCCATATTCATCAGGATTTTATAAACATAAGCAATTTACTGGAACAAGGCATTGGTTACTGTATCACTCCACGGCCAGAAAACATCAACATTGCACTCCGGAAATCTGTCATATTGTAAGATGGTTCATGTTTTTAGCGTTTAATCAAGTTTACGTGTAGGGGAGACTGCATGGATATTGCTTTTTAACAATGAGTCGTTCAAATTGGAAGAAGCTCTTTGATTATTTTAGGATATTTCATCAAATCATGTAAAAAAACGCTACACAAATACAATCATTACACCACACGGACCTCCGCTTCATGACAATACTAAGCGGCAGGCCAGAGAATACAACGGCCTAGACGTAATTTTGGAAACAATAAAGGTGAAGATACTCGACCGAAATATGTATTCAATAACTCACAACTTCAGTCCAATTCTGAATTCCCCGTAGGCTACACAGATCGATAAAAAAAAACTGAATGAAAGTAGCAGACTACAACGGCCGAAATTTTGGGATAACAACAATGATAAGTACTAAATAGTGTAAATATTAATAACTCCTCATCCCAGAAATTTGTTTGTTTGCAATTTCCTGAAGCATGATATAAAAGCAGAGTATATTCCAGCATATTTTAGATCAGTTATTCCCAACGTGGGCCGCATGGCCCACCGGTAGGGCATGGCAATATTTTGGGTTGGCATGCATAGGATGTTCACCCTTCGGCTTACTATATCAGCAAAATAAGGGGCAATTTGAGAATGAGTTATTAACAGTGAATTGTTCTCTAGTGAACTCAAATTTCATTTTGAATTATTATTTCATGATTAAAATAATCAAAGTATATTACAGAATAAACTTTCATTCAAATATTTTATATTTCTACCTTTCAGTTCTCTATTATATGTTTTGAAACTATATATACAGGGTGTCCATAAAGTTCGTGTGCATCTTAAAAAATTTATAACTTTATTTGTATTTGCGATAGAAATAATCTGTAAAAAATGTTATAAAGTTTAATGTACCTAGTTTTAAGTATAGCTAAAATAACTAACGTGATTTCAGGCATTACTGTAAATCAGTTGGCAAATGTTTTCCGTGAACTGCAAAATCGTATTACCCATTGTATTGCTAATGATGGAGGACATGTAGAAACTTGAATAAAATTTCAATAAACCTTAAAAAATATAAATTTACTTCTTTCTAATCCTTTTTACAAATTATTTCTATCGCAAATACAAATAAAGTTATAAATTTTTTAAAGTGCACACGAACTTTATGGACACCCTGTATTTAAATGTCTTGTTTTTTATTCAATTTTTCTCTTTTATGAACGCTATGGTCTTTGAAGGCTTGTTTAGAGACCAAGCCAATGGCCTTTTAAGCTTTCTTCACGTGAATTGCAGTAAACTTTTGAATATGTAAAAATTAAATATTACAGGAGAGGCACCAGAAATACAAAAGTGGGCCATACCCTAAAATTGGTTGGGAGCCATTGGTTTAGATACACAATATTTAATGGGTGAATGTTGCAAAGCGAAAAATGGTGTTTAGTACCATCGTTGACAAAATATATCGTCCATCTTGTGTGTATGTTCAACTTAATATCTTCTTTAACTTATTTCAACATAATCAAATAATTGTCTACCATCTTCTTTTATGTTTCAAGACCTTTAAGGACGTAGGGGTTCACGGCTTACCTCTTAATCTATGATTTGTCGTACATTCACACAAGCTCGTTACGTAGGCAACTCGCTTTTTCTTTCCGCTTCTGTTGCTTTCAAGATATCTTGTGAGTGTTATATTCTCTGGGCCTTCTTTTCTCGTTATCTATCCCAGAACTTTCAGCTGTATTTTTTTCTGTTTCTAAGTATATTTTTTTGTAATTTCTAATTTAAATCTTCCTCATTGTTCACGTGTTCTGTCCATGTTATTCTTAGCATTCGTCAGCCACATCTCTGTCGCTTGAAGCCTGTGAGAAAATTATCAAGCATTAACTGCCATCGAGAAGGAAATATATCACCCAGATGAATACTGTTAATTTCTATTAAACTATTTGTTCTATACGTCTTAGTTTCTGGAAGATATTGGTTGATTGATTCATTCATTCATTCCAGTCTTTGGTATGACGATAAACTACATCCGGCAGCAAGGTCTCTAAATGTACTTATGTCCTAGGTATGACGATAAACTACATCCGGTAGCAAGTCCTCCGAGAGGATCTTTGTACCACCTCTTAATTGCTATCACTCTCAAGTCCACCCGGACCCGGGGTGGTAGCACCTGTTAGTGTCCCAGGTATCTCCATCCCCAAGAAAACACTATGAAACTATTAAAATACATATTTATAGTAAAAATACCAGCAATACATTTTTAGATAAAAGACTTACTAATAATACATTTTATCTGTAGCTTAAGGCATACAATTGTGTTCAAAATATATTTAAAGCCATAAAATTGTGTTCAAAATATATTTAAAGCCATAAAATTGTGTTCAAAATATATTTAAAGCCATAAAATTGTGTTCAATATATATAGATTTCGACATTAAATAACCCATAGAGGTGTTGATATACCGCTAAACAAAATCAACCAAACAACCAACATGAAAGGACTTTCATGACATTAATCCAAATAATATCCTTAAATTTCTTAACTCAAACCGTATTCCAAAATGTAACTTCAACAAACCCCCAACATAAAGCACACATATCACTGCCTCGAGTAATTATGTCCACACAAACATGTATATGTAGAAAAGCTGAGTATCATCTACCATGTATACAATTACGAAAGCAGAATAATATATATCATATTTTTATTACTTCCAAACTCCCAAAGAAATAAAGTTTCCCATTAAATGACCCTATAAGGAGTTGATATGGCGTTAAACAAGTTAATCAATCATTCTTCATTCATTTTTTTGCTACGACTTATCAACCCTTTGTAGGTTATTTAAAGCCAGAAAATATTTTTACATTGTTTAGACTTGTTTGTTGTTAGATAATAACGGTTTAGTGATACAGTTTTTACTAATTAACCCATAGCTGGGGAGAAGAGTAGAGGATGATTGATATCTTTACCAAATGTATTTGCGCGTAAGTAAATATAACGAATTCAAGTGTAATTAGAACTCATCTCTCCGATTAATAATTCTGAGCCATTATCCATTACACCACCCACACACCCAATCTTATAGCACCTATTATTACCAAGCGGCCACCCATCTCGGTACTGACCAAGCTCGACGTTGCTTATCTTTGGTCATCATGCAGGAACAGGTGTTTCAACGTGATGGTTACTGAGCCACTTCACGACCCTTAGCCTTTCTAGAAGGTATATTTGACAATTCTTATGCTGCCCAGTTAAATGTATTTATCTGATTGAGTTTAACGTCCCAAAAACTTAACAGTTGTCTTTTGCTGACAATCATGAAATTTATCTTAATATTCAATAATCTAACATAAGCAAATAAAAAAAATAGATTAATAGACATTTTTCAAAAGGTATATCGATTTGAAAAACAACAGCCTGGCTTAGTAAGGTCACCATTTTGGAACACTCAGTGACATTCCAACTTAATAACAATGGCGAATATGTCTCTAAGATTCTACGCTTAACAGCTTTTCTACAGACGCACTTATAAGAATCATACTTTGCTCTGTAGAGGTTTTCTTGATTGATTCATTCAATTTCTACCGATTATCAACATTTTGCAGGTTTTTTAAGCAAGAAAAATATTTTAGATTGCAATAATTTTTTGTTGGAGATAATAATGATTTAGCGATGTAAGTTTTACTACTTAACCCATAGCTGGGGTAGAAGAGGTGGATTCGTATTTTTCCCAATGATATTTTCGCATAAGTGAATATAATAAACCTTACTGAAATTGGAACTCGGCTCTCCGATTAACAATTACGAGCCATTAACCACGTACAGATCCAAGCTGACATTCCCAAGCGGCGACCCATCTAACTCTGTAATCTTTACTAAACTTGCTTCAGTCTAGCAAAAGTAATCCTCACAAATCCACACGAGAGGACTCTCTCTCTCTCTCTCTCTCTCTCTCTCTCTCTCTCTCTCTCTCTCTGTACATCGGCCGAAACATCATGAACGTGTCGATGAAGCTGAGGACAACCGTCTGAACAATGTAAATAGTGTAAACAGAATACTTCATCTCAGAAATAAATAGAACTGTTATTTATATATCTTTCTTACACTGTTTATATATATATATATATATATTCTGATGCAGTCAGAACTCGGTGTGCTGGTCATGTTGTAAGAATGACTAACGTCAAAATACCAAAGGTCCTCATGTATAGCCAGGTTGACAGTGGACAAAGTAATGTTGGACGGCCGTGGATTAAGTACAAAGACAAACTAAAGACTCTCTCTCTCTCTCTCTCTCTCTCTCTCTCTCTCTCTCTCTCTCTCTCTGTTTTACGATATATATGTTTTTTAAGCCAAAACTGTGCAGAACTTATGAGGGATCAGTATGTGTTCTTGCACGTGTTCATAAATGTGTACGAATATATATATATATATATATATATACATGTGTGTGTGTGTGCGTGCATGTGTGTGGAAATGTGTCCAATCAGTTGGTGCCAATTATTTGAATTTTGTTGTGTGTTTTTGGTTTTCATTCTTATTTGAAGAGCATCTTTCAAACAGTCTTCGAACGGGCAATTACGATAACTTTTTACTTGATTTTAATTACCGACACTTAAAAAAATAATCAAATTACCAAGAAGACGATTTGAATTAAGCGACGTTTTGGCTTCAGTGGGGAAAATTTGTATTTTTATTGTTTCTTTCTATTCTTATTCTGGAACTGTTTCCATCTCATTCGATCTGAAACGCGTCACCTGCAAATATAACATGCTCATCTCAACTACCAATTGCTTAATCTATCCTTGATCAATATATCTATATATTTACACTATTTACGTTATTCGGAGTGTTGTCCTCATCTTTATTGCCATATTGACAACGTTTCAGCCGTTGTGCATTCCGGCCTTCTTCAGGATCTGTCTATATTTCTGAGATGAGGTATTGTAACGGTATACACTATTTACATCGTTCGGACTGTTGTCCTCATCTTTATTGTCATATTCATGACGTTTCGGCCGTTGTGCATTCCGGCCTTCTTCAGGATCAGTCTATATTTCTGAGATGAGGTATTGTAACGATATACACTATTTACATCGTTCGGACTGTTGTCGTCATCTTTATTGTCAGATTCACGACGTTTTGGCGGTTGTACGCTCAAGGACACATAGCCGGTTGGATACAGCGTTGGTTGAAGTAATTCAATTACTTCAGCAAAAGAGTTTTGATTTCAATCCCAGGCCAAAGCAGATGTGAACAAAATCTTAGATAATTGAAATACTAAAGCGAAACAACTAAAACTGATCTATCTAGAAAATGTTCATGGAACCAGAACACTATCTCGTGAACTAAATAAAGGGTTCGTTTCGAAATTCCAATTGAAGAATGCCTGTGTGTACAACGGCCGAAACGTCGTGAACGTGTCGATAAAGGTGAGGACAACAGTGTGAACAATGTAAATAGTGTAGAGAGTTACAATACTTCATCTCAGAAATAAAGACAGATGTTATTTATATATCTTTCTTAGACTTATATATATATATATATATATATATATATATATATATATATATATATATATATATATATAACGTAATATCAGGCCACGATTGCGTATTTAGGAATAAATAGCCTGTCGCCCTAAGTGTTGAGTTCAATGTTCAATTTATATTTACACACACTCTGTCTCTGATATTGACCACAGGCTATTCCATAAATATAGTCACCTTAAGAGTATATTTTTTTATATATATATATATATATATATATATATATATAAGTAATGTTGGATGGCCGTGGCTTAGGTATGACGACAAATTAAAGAGTAACATCTCACCTGTCAATGTTCCTAATACTAAATTCGAGCGGGTTGCCCTGGATAGAAATAATTGGAGATATTTGTGCTAGAGTGATATCAGAAATTTAACGAATAAGAGACGAAAGTTAATGGCGAAAAGCGTCAGCATGTTTTCTGTTGCTATGTCCCGCAATTCCCGCTGTTGCACAATATGTGAACTTGTAGGTCAGGTCACTAGAGAGACTGAAGTGCCACATACGACATAAACATAAAAACTGAATGAGGTTGTCCTATCCTCGTATGTCGAAATCGATGGGAGTCTCCATCATATATATATATATATATATATATATATATATTGACTACTAATGTTATATATATATATATATATATATATATATATATATATATATATATATATGGTATCAAATGACAATTGAAAAACATCTTACATTTCATACGTGTTTCGTCTTCCGACTTTTTTTCAAGGCAAAAATGAAAATCGAAATGTTTTTGCTGTTATATTACCTTCAAAATTAAAAATAGACGCTAAGCCTTTTCCTGGTTAATGTAAATTACCTTTATAGTAAGGATTATTATTATTATTTTCCAATTGTCATTTGATACCAATCTGTCTTGTTCACAGAATTCATCTGGGAATTTAACTATACTGTCGACATGGAAAAAATAATAATAAAAATAATAATTCATCTGGGAATTTAACTATATATACATATATATATATATATATATATATATATATATATATATATATATATAATAAATTCTTAAGAGGATATAATAAAAAATAATAATAATAATCCCTTACTATAAAGGTAATTTACATTAACCAGAAAAAAAAGCTTAGACACAAGCGTCTATCTTTTTAATTTTGAATTTTAATGTAACTATAACAACAAAAACATTTCGATTTCATTTTTGCCTTGAAAAAGTCGGAAGACGAACGCGTCGGCGAAATGTAAGATGTTTTTCCAATTGTCATTTGATAACAATCTGTCTTGTCCACAGAATTCATCTGGGAATTTAACTATCTATATATATATATATATATATATATATATATATATATATATATTCTTAAGAGGATAGAATCCAGGTAGAACTCAATGTCCACGACAGAGTAAAAATATAATATAAAATACTCAACCACTAATATTCCATGATTATAATTTATTACATTGGAATCGTAATCAGGATTCAATTCATCAGACCTACAAGTAATATTTGCCAAGAAAGGGTTTAATTAATAAAAATTGGTCAAAAAATTGCTTCAGAAAGCGAAAATGATGTAGGTCAGTTTAAGCCACAAAATAATTAGAACGCTGACCTTTCTACTACCGTGATTTCTACCTTTGTGGGATCATCAGGCAGTAGATAGATAGATAGATAGATAGATAGATAGATATCCATTTTTCTCGCGAGATAAAGGTAGCGTCGTTTGATCAAAATTCAGTCCCCGTGTTGGTGAAACTGAAGTGACCTCTCCAGTTTGCAGGCCTGGCCGATGGTCCAGGGAGGCGTTGGACCGCCTACACTATATAGAACCCTCTCTACCGTACTGACACGTTTCAAAGGAATACAAGACAATAAATTTGAAAACGAATTGGCTGAAGCATTTGCAGGACATTCTATATGGATTTACTTCCATATGCCTTTTTGCAAGGCAGTGGAGGTTTAAAATCAAAGTTTTCCCTCCCCAAGATGAAATAACTTCCGGGGCTGTCAAGATCCATTTACCCCAACTAGCTGGTTATGTGGCGCCGGTTTCCCCCACATTCGCACATTCTCCGGCTGGAATAAGTTGTTAATATTATATATATATATATATATATATATATATATATATATATATATATATATATATATAAAATTAATTGATTTAAAATATGTTTTTTTTCGCTACATAGTTCTAACCATGTTTCAAAAATGGAAGCTAAAAGCCCCGAATTTAATTTTGTAATGGAACTAATGTCTTTAATTTAATTACAAAATTAAATTCGGGGCTTTTAGCTTCCATTTTTGAAACATGGTTAGAACTGTGTAGCGAAAAAGACATATTTCAAATCAATTAATTTATAATATTAATGCTCTGTAAATTTACATTGAGCACTATTTTGTAAAAATAAAAATATCTATAAGAACACCGGGTTATATATCTTACTGTTCTTTCTTTTTGTTTATATACACATATATATATGTGTGTGTGTGTGTGTGTGTGTGTGTGTGTGTGTGTGTGTGTGTGTGTGTGTGTGTGTGTGTTTGGATGTGTGTGTTCTCTGCGTCAGATATTTAAAAACGGATCTTTAGAAAGCTATACATGACCAACTATAACAAAAAGTCTTGCCCCTTTTTTCACTAATGCTGAGGTTAAATAGTCATGCCATTCACGTTGCTTTAGCCGCCAACCACACAGATTCGGAGATGTCAGCCATCTCAAATGTCTTGGTGTTTAAGAGGAAAAAAAGAGGTCCATGTATCTGGAAAGAGTGTGTCTTCAATGGCCAAGAGAAAAATGCCAAGAGATTGTCAAAAATGTCGAGCTCGTTCAGAAAGTCCAGTTTATCATAGAACGAAACGGCGGGAAACATTATAAGGCCCATTGTCATTGAACTCCTAGTGTCAAAGTCAAAAATCAGACATGTAGTGCACGAATACGCACTATAAGAATGCTAAGTTATGAGATAAGGGGTGAGTTTGTGAACAATAACATTCTACATCTCCTGATTTAAAAAGTTACGTTATGAATAAAAGAGTGACTTCACGTCCAATAGCATCCTGCTATATTATCAGATTTAATATCGTACGCTAGAAGAGGACAGAGTCTATGTCCGATAGCATCATTCTGCATCACCTGATTTAAAATTGTATGTTATGTGGAGAGGGCAGAATTTATGTCCGATAGCATCATCTGATTATAAATTGTATATTATGAGGAGTGGGCAGCGTTTATGTTCGATAGCATCATTCTGTCTCACCTGATTTAAAATTGTATGTTATGTGTAGAGGGCAGCGTTTATGTCCAATAGCATCATTCTACTTCACCTGATTTAAAATTGTATCTTTGTGGAGAGGGCAGATTTTATGTCCGATAGCATCATTCTGAATAACATTATTTAAAATTGTATGTTATGGGGATAGTGCAGAGTTTATGTCCGATAGCATCATTCTGAATAACATGATTTAAAATTGTATGTTATGAGGACTGCAGAGTTTATGTCCGATAGCCTCATTCTCCATCACCTGATTTAAAATTGTATGTTATGAAGAGAGGGCTGTGTTTGTGTCCGATAGCATCGTTTTGCATCACCTTATTTCAAAATGTATGTTATGAGGAGAGGACAGAGTTTATGTCCGATATCATCCTCCTGCAACACCTGATTTAAAATTGTATGTTATGAGGAGAGGTCATTGTTCATGTCCGATAGCATCATTCTGCATCTACTGATTTGAAATTGTATCTCATGTGGAGAAGGAAGAGTTTATGTCCGATAGCAACATTCTACATCACCTGATTTTAAATGCTAGTGTTCATATCCATTAATATCTGGGAAAGGGTCATCTGATCTTGTCGATTCGTTTTCCCAAACAAATTGAAACTCATTCAATGTCTTGTTGTCCGTAACATTTGTCCTCCTACATCTCCTAGTTTAAAAACTATGTGTGCTATAACATCTGTGGCTTCGTTGAGATGGAAACCATCACACATGAGCATAATGGCAAATGCTCTCTGAATGCTGCTATTAGCAGTTCATTGCCTACGTGAAGAAGACTATCTGATCAACACATTTAATCCACTAAGAGTCGCATCGATACAGAGGCCGGTCATATTGAATTGACTTATGTTTGGTGCTTGTATATAAGAACATATGTACAACATTCTGTAAAAGAGAATGGAATGTAAGAGTAGGCACCAGAAAGTGAGAATTATGAGGTTAAGGAGGATATATAACGATTGAAGAGGTTAAGATTGTACTTTGCATACAAGCATCCATGCGCGAATTTATTCCACGAAATAGGAGTTCCTCTGAATATTATCCATGGAAACAGCAATAGTGTAGCGATAGGCTTCAAACGCTACACCTGTGGGGAAAGAGGCTGTATAGTGGGAAATAAGTCAATTTTGAACTATTCAGGCTAGAAATTTTCGGTTGTACAGCATCAGCAGGAAGACTCTTGTGCCCAATTTAGATAAATTATGAAAAGGCATAGATAGATAGATAGATAGATAGATAGATAGATAGATAGATAGATAGATAGATAACGGTCTAATAACCTTAGAGTTGAATTGGCTGGATGCAACCGTAAGTTCTATGCTAACAGTTTCTTCTCACACACTTCTCTTTTACGGAACTCTCTTCCGACTTTCCAGTCGAATTTGTCCTTCGAAGATCTAAATACAATATCAATCGTTATTTTCTGTTTTCTAAATTCCTGTTCATTTATTTTTCTCTCTGATTAATAATGTTTCTTTTTCTCACATTCCTTGCGTCTTAGTGGATTTATTGCCATACTGAATTTGATTTAAAAATAGATAGATAGATTTTGATTTGATTTAAAGATAGATAGATAGATAGATAGATAGATAGATAGATAGATAGATAGATAGATAGATAGATAGATTTTAAAGTAGAAATAAAACGTTTAATACCATTTTCTATCCAAGGAGATTGCATCATCTTTCTTAATGTTAATACAATCTCCATTGCCAACTAACTTACCTTCTTGCCAAATCAACGTAAGTTCACCGCCGCTGTCGTGGTGAATAACAGACGGTAATGCTTTTATCATTGCTCCATCATAGCCGGACAGACGGCCTATGTCTTTATTTACCTGATTGGACGCATTAAATGCCCAGGATTTTACGTAAATTTAAATCGATTTTGAAGTGAATTAGAACCAGGTCTAATAAAACCCAGTTTACTCATGTCCTGTCTGTGACCGTTTTTCCACTATCAACATTTTGTGTCTTTTGATTAATAAGCAAAAACTTAAATGAACATCCTTCGTTTACTATTCTTCCAAAATAAATCTTATTAGACTGACCATGAAATCAAAGAGTTCTTTCTCTCTGTCATCGAATGTCTTTTCGTTTTATTTTCTTGCATTTTGGTATAGAAATGTAGGGTTTATGACAGAAAATCTACAAAATTGCTCTTGAGAAACAGTATAATTTGATCTTTTCTTCACTTTCACTCTTTCTTTTTTTTTTTTGTCTTTTTCTTCCACTTTTTTCGTGTCTTTCTCTAATTTTTCTTCTCTTTTTCTTTCTCGCTGTTTATATTTTTCCTTCTTTTTCCTTTTTTTACTTTCTTTTTTCCTACTTCCTATCTTTTTTCTTTTTCTTTTAATTCTCCTCTCTTACTTTCCTTCATTCATTCCTTTCCCTTCTTTTTTTTTAATTTGTTTTTCTTTCTTTCTGTCTTTCACTTCTTTCTTTTTATCCATTTTTGTTTCGTCTATTCGTCTTTTTAACTTTCTTCATTTTCCTGTCATTTGAATTACTTCCTTTCTTTCCTTCTTTTTTTTCACTTTGTCTCATTTGTTTTATATTTCATTTTCACCTTTTTTCTTTTCTTCTTTTCTTCTTTTTTCTTTCACTTTAAAACTCATTGCGTTTCTATGTTTTCACATTATCTGCTTCTTTATTTTCTTTTTTTACTGCCTTGACTTCATTCTCTAAACATTATTTCATTATTTAGTTCAGTCTTTCTTTCCTTCTTTATCTCTATTTATTTTCTTTCTTTTCTGTTCACGTCATCACCTTTTTCTTTTTTTCTGTCTTTCCCATTTCATTTTTTATTTATTTATTGTTTCTGTCCATTTTTTCTTTCCTACTTTCTTTCTTTCTTTCTTTCTTTCTTTCTTTAAGTTTATACCTTTTCATTTTTTCTTTCTTTTCTTTCTTTCATTTAATCTCATCTTCTTTCTTTCTTTGTGCTTCTCTTTCTTTTTTCTTTTTTGATCTTTCTTTTTCCTTCTTTACATACAGTTAATGCTTCCAATTCATTCTCTCTCTCTCTCTCTCTCTCTCTCTCTCTCTCTCTCTCTCTCTCTCTCTCTCTCTCTGTATAACAGTTCTATAGGTTACAGTAAATAAATCCTCCTGAAGACATATTTAGTTTGAACCATACTCCACTTTGGTATTTCTAAAATTCTGGTGCCCCCCTCCCTGTAATATTTAATTCTTACGTGTATGCCCTCCCCCGCCGCCACTGAGTCAGGTTGTGACACAAGGTCGGTTTTTAACGTTTTGACCCGAGTTTCTTCACGTCTTAGCTGGTCATAGCTTGTCCAAGCTGGTCAGAGCTGGTCTAAGCTAGTCTTAGCTGGTCATAGCTGGCCCAAGCTTGTCCAAGCTAGTCATAGCTCTGATACTACCAGTGCAGGTACGGATCCCTGTGACCGGTAAGTATCCGAATGTGTATACCCCTCAAAAGAGGAATTTACATCTCACTCAGAATCACTGGAAAACAATTCACTGTTAATACCTAATTCCCGAATTGCCCCCTTATCTGTTGGTATAGTAAGCCGAAGTGTGTACATTCGACGCATTCACCCAAAAAATATTACCATTCCCACCAAAATATTACCATGCTCAAGCGGTGGATCAAGCGCCCCACGTTGGGAAAATTTGGTCTAAACACTTATCCTTAGCGTGTAATTCACCCATGCCCCGTATCCATAGGGTAATCCATATAATCATATACCATAATATGGTGAAGATGCATTATAAAGAAATTAATATATCTCGTATAACCTTTACTTCATAGTTTACCAGGCAATTACACTAACAATTCTTGAAAAGGTAGCAGGCTAAAATTAACATGCTCACTAGAATTGTATCCGGTATTAACTTATACAGCTAACCACTTTGAAACCAGTGTTAATCTATGCCAAAGTTACAGAAACCTGTGGGAAACAAATGTTGATGTTAGTTTTTCTTCTTTCAAAAATATAATTCTTAAGATCATTTGATTCTAGACCTTCATGTTAATATTATATTCTAACATTATATTGTTGATAAAAGGAAATTACTTGGAAAATAGAAATTGAAATGGAAAAGAAATACGTGTAAAAAATGTTAACTTGGTTTTACGGATTATCTAAAGCCGAAATACATTTTATATTGATAGAATAATCTTTTTTTATTGCGAAAGAATATTTTACTAACAGTTTTGTTAGAATGACACTGATGTTTTCCAAACAGAAATCTTACTATTTAACCCATAACAGCGGGAAAAGATGGATTGACACTTTTCCCCGGGGATTTTCGGGGGTATGTAAATATAATAAACCCGACTGGAATTTGAACTTGGTTTCCCCAAGTTTTTAATCCTACTTGCTATAACCAACAGAATATCCTACAGGCGAAAGAATATATATATATATATATATATATATATATATATATATATATATATATATATATATATATATATATATATATATATATATATATATATATATATATCTCAGATAAAAGATAAATATAGGCGGAGAGTGAAGAAAAATTCTCGACATGATTAAGAAGAAAAAAGAAAGAAAGAAAGAAAGAAAGAAAAAACGTCTGAATTATGCGTGGGAGGAAAAAAGGCGGAAAAAATTGGGACTGATGGAAAGAAGGAAGACATTAAGAAGTTAATTGAAAAAAGACGTAAAGAAAAAATCGAAAAAAGGTAAAAAAAAAAGAACATGAGAAGAAAGAAAGAAAGAAAGAAAGAAAGAAAGAAAGAAAGAAAGAAAGAAAGAAAGAAAAATATTTGTCAGGATCCTAAAAAAAAAACTGGCTCTCATTCAAGTGTCTCTTGAGACCACCAACTTCCGAAATTATCAATTCTGCCTATAAAATGCGATGTTCAAGACATTAATGGCACCAATAATTTAAGAGCGTTCAATCCAAAAGCAAGCAACTCATATTAAAATCTTTCCCGAAAGACTTTTGACAGCATCACTACAACGACAATACTCTTTCGGAACAAAGTCTTTCACGATTATTCTCTTCATCAAAAGAATTTACTTCTTTTAGTCAGACCTTATTTCGGTAAAGACTTCTTATTAAGTTTCCCATGGGCGTGACTGTCATGAAAATGAAGACCATTTCATAACAAAAGTGCCAATATAAATACAAGCAGCTAGAAAAGTGTACAGCTTTGATTTTCGTTTTACTAATTGCGTATTTAGTAACGGCCATTTGGCTTTTTGGAAACAAAGCCCAGTTGCAGAATTGAAGAAGTTTAAACACTGCTGTACTCTGTCAAATTTCAAGAGAATTTATTTTGGCAATTCTTCATTCTCTGTTTTAGTTTTAACTTCTTTTTCTTTACTTTCTTCAATGACTCCATTCTTTTCTCGCAACAAATTTTGCTTTCTTTTCTTCTTTTCCCTTCTCCTCAATTTTTACTTCTTCGTTCTTTTCTTCTAGCGGTTAATCCAAGTTATTACTACCTTTCATTCATTCTTTCTTTCTTTCTTTCATCCTTTCTGTCTTTTTTCTTTCTTCTTTCTTTCTTTCTTTCTTTCTTTCATCCTTTCTGTCTTTTTTCTTTCTTCTTTCTTTCTTTCTTTCTTTCTTTCATCCTTTCTGTCTTTTTTCTTTCTTCTTTCTTTCTTTCTTTCATCCTTTCTGTCTTTTTCTTTCTTCTTTCTTTCATCCTTTCTGTCTTTTTTCTTTCTTCTTTCTTTCTTTCTTTCATCCTTTCTGTCTTTTTTCTTTCTTCTTTCTTTCTTTCTTTCTTTCATCCTTTCTGTCTTTTTTCTTTCTTCTTTCTTTCTTTCTTTCTTTCATCCTTTCTGTCTTTTTTCTTTCTTCTTTCTTTCTTTCTTTCATCCTTTCTGTCTTTTTTCTTTCTTCTTTCTTTCTTTCTTTCTTTCATCCTTTCTGTCTTTTTTCTTTCTTCTTTCTTTCTTTCTTTCATCCTTTCTGTCTTTTTTCTTTCTTCTTTCTTTCTTTCTTTCTTTCTTTCATCCTTTCTGTCTTTTTTCTTTCTTCTTTCTTTCTTTCTTTCTTTCATCCTTTCTGTCTTTTTTTTCTTTTTCTTTCTTTCTTTCTTTCTTTCATCCTTTCTGTCTTTTTTTTTTTCTCTTTCTTTCTTTCTTTCTTTCATCCTTTCTGTCTTTTTTCTTTCTTCTTTCTTTCTTTCTTTCATCCTTTCTGTCTTTTTTCTTTCTTCTTTCTTTCTTTCTTTCTTTCATCCTTTCTGTCTTTTTTTTTTCTTTTTCTTTTCTTCTTTCATCCTTTTCTGTCTTTTTTTTTCTTTTCTTTTTCTTTTTTTTTTTCTTTCTTTCATCCTTTCTGTCTTTTTTCTTTCTTCTTTCTTTCTTTCTTTCATCCTTTCTGTCTTTTTTTTTCTTCTTTCTTTCTTTCTTTCATCCTTTCTGTCTTTTTTCTTTCTTCTTTCTTTCTTTCTTTCATCCTTTCTGTCTTTTTTCTTTCTTCTTTCTTTCTTTCTTTCTTTCATCCTTTCTGTCTTTTTTCTTTCTTCTTTCTTTCTTTCATTCTTTCTTTCTTTGTTCTTCTATTGTTATTTTTATTCTTCAAAATAGTTAGAATACTATACATTTTACTTTCTTTTCCAAATAAAAAAAAAGATAAAATTCTCTTTCTCATTCTTATTCCAACATTTTCTTCCTCTTCTTCTTCTTCTTCTTCTTCTTCACCATTTTCTTCTTCTTCTTC